TTACCCACAGGCATGTGTTGATTAAGCTACATATAGTACAAAGGTCAGAACTTTAGTTCACAATACTTAGTAACTATTTTCCTCTTTAATGAACACATGATTTTCATGAGTGCCACAGGAAAGAAGGCCCCAAGTGCTAGAGATGCTGGAGGTACTCCACCACCCAGAGTAGCAAGAGCTAGTACGAGGCAATAACCCACACCAAGGTACTCCACATTATGTTCCCTTAACAGAAGAAGGGGCAGCTAGGTGTGGGGCACACACCTATAATTCTAACATCTGGAGTCTAAAGCTAGCCTGGGCTATACAGTGAGTCACTGTCTAAAAAAGGAACAACAAAAGCAAGAAAACCCACCAACAAATGTGACAGACTCAGACTATAATCAAATGAGGATGATTAACTGATAGAAATGACAGCTAATGCCTTATAAGCAATACCAGAAGGAATTCTGGAATTCCTTTAGCAGGGGAAAGAATCTGGCTGATTTTCTTGCCTGGGATAGAAAGTGTGGGCAATTCTTTGCTGCCCAGGCTGCCTGCTCAGCCAGGCCCGTCCAGTCCACCTTCACTGCCTGGCTTCTACCTGGTGCATACCCCAAGTCTCACCCAACCTTTCTGACCCCCCCTGAAGAGCAAACAGGGAAGGCAGGGTTAGTGTGGACTACTCCTGAACTTGCTTTTGACAGAGGCCAATACATACTGATTGGGCCAGCGTCTTTCCAGAGTCATCTTATATGGATAGAATGGTAGTATACAGATGGTGGAGGCATGTAGCTGTGGGCCCTGAGATATGATATGGTGCATATAGAGATTTGAGACTGGTAAACCAGATTGCAATTTTCATGGAGAAAGCTGGCCCAAGAATGAAGGAAAAAAGCATGTGGGGCCATAATTATAGAGAAGACACAAGAGGCTGACTTGTTCACTGTGAAAGAAAAACAATCTGCTTCTTCCCGAAATGAGAACAATCCTCACAGCCTATGTGAAGGCTAAGAAATGCTGGTGCTACCTGAATCCCTTAGGGTTGCCACAATGAAGATTCAATATCCTGCACATGAAGAATGTGGAGCAAGAGTGAATGACCTGAGGAGAGGCTAAGCTAGGTAAGTGATATGCTTGGCACAAAAAGGCAGGATGACTTTTATCTATTACTTTCTACTAACTTGAAGGCTAATATCATTGAACTTCTGAGTTTGCTAAAGAATGAGGAGAGGTCTGAACTCATGTTTGGCCTTTTGTCCTTGGAAAAAGCATTCAGCTTTCCTGGAACTTTGGTTTTTGTTTGGAGAGTTCTTTAAAAATTACAAAGTCTTACTGGGCTCTTTGTGGTCTCATAATATCCAGGTGACTAAATGACAGAGATGCTGCCTGAGAAGGGTGACTGGCAAGTAGAGTAGCAGGATATATCACATGAGTTGGGGGAATTTCAGTTGGGGTGTTGTAGCATGGATTCTAATAGGTCTTAATAATAAAAACCTGGAGTCAGATATTGGGGCAAATACTGAAAGGTCAGAGAAGTAAAGGAGCCAGTCATAAGACAGACCTCTTACCTCTACTGAATCCTCAGACCAAAGGGGCAGTCCTGTCCCTACAAGTCCTCAGACTGAATGCAATGAGCTCCTGTCTTCTCTCATCTTGTATTTCTTTCTCTATCCAGCCATATCACTCCTGTCTTTACCCTCCTAGTGCTGGGATTAAAGACATGTGATTCCCAAGTACTGGGATTAAAGGTGTGAACCACTTTTGCCTGGCTGTTTCTCTTTTAGGCTGGATCAATCTCCTGTAGCCCAAGGTGGCCTCGATCTGTCTGCCTCTGCCTCCCTGAGTGCTGGGATTAAAGGTGTGTGTCACCACTGCCTGGAGACTTTGGCTAACTATCATGGCTAGCTAGCTCCACACTCTAATCTTCAGGCAAGCTTTATTTGTTAGATCACAAACAAAACATCACCACAGGATGCTGCCTTTAGAATCAGTATATCTGGCAGCTGGTCTGGTGTCTGTGGCTTCTGGTTCAAAGAACAGGGAGAAATTATGACTGAATTGGTATACAAACTGTGGGTGCCTGGGGTCCACCAGCTCCAGTAGAAGGGCTTGATAGGAAAAAGGCCACAGTTCATGGTTGTGATAGGTCAAGGTCCCCATGAGATCTCCTCCATCCTTCACAGTTCAGGCTTTCTAAAAGGATGTTCTAGGCATCTTGGGTTCTGAGTTGAAAACATCACAATTTTGGTAGCACAGATCCTTTGCCTGAGGTGATCTTGGAACAAAATGCACCAGGCATCAGTTCTATATGAACCTGTTGTTTACATAGTAGATAAGAATGGCAAATACTTCTCATTCACTACTATCATTTCAGGGGCTTTTCATATATTACCTTACTTGATACTTGCCACTACTCCACTATCCTCACTTGTATTTTCCACTAGGCATTAAGGGGTTAAGTCAAATACCTAGTAGGTCAAGTCTGGACTTAATGCAGAAATGTTCTTGTGGAAACAGTAACTATGACACAGGTCAGATCCTGTCCTCACAGGGTGGGACAAAACAGATAAAGGTTCTGAGTATTAGTATTTAAGGCATTGATAAGTGTTCTGAGGAATAGGGGCAAGTAGCTGTTTTAAACAGTGTGGCCAAAGAGGAAAAATGTACTTTGGGAGTCTGGCTGGGTTCCTCTGGGAAGAGGGCGCTAAGGCTGGCTGTGAATCAGGACCAGCAATGGGAACAGTGAAGGTGAGGGGGATGAGAGCAGTGAAGGGCCCTTGAGGATCTCTTGAGAATTTCATGTTTTATTGTCAAGGTGCCACTTTGAAGCCTCTGGGGGGAGTTCAGCAGGACAGTGACTCAATCTGATCCTTTCTTTGGAAAAAAAAAAAAAACCAACACTCTAGTGTGTTCATAGAACTCAGGGGACACACTGACAGCAATAACAATGGCTAATGCACAGATGGTGTGTGTGACAATCCAGTTTCTTCTCTTACTTCAGGCCTTTGCTCTAAGGCCAGCTTATGCCAGCTTGCAGCAAGTTGGCCGAGTGAGTGCTTTACTATGGTGAAAGTGGCACTTGGATACAGGAAGGCCTGGCACGAGAGGGAAGTAAATAGGAATTAACAGGTATGACTGGTGAACTTTTCCAGTGCAGTGAGTATGCTGCCTTAGTCAGGTCTCTCTAAGGTGGGAACATGTGGCTCTACTAGGTTACCATGGAAACCTTGGAAGGAGACAGTATGCATCTGTCATGAGGAAAGTGCAGTCACCATGCTGTCCTGAGGGAGCCACCACCACCACCTTGATCACAGTCCATTTCTCTTTATGTCCCAGCCTGTTTTCAGTGTATATTCACTGAGAATGTTGGCTGAAGGCCATAATCGGTCTGGTCTTTTTATTTTTTGGTTTGTTTTCTCTTTGCAGTTTTGGGGCTAGAACTAAGGAGCTTTGTGCACAGTTGGCAAGTGTTATACTGTTAAGCCATGACACCGACCCTGGCTTATCTTTTGAGAGTAGTTTTAGCATTTCAAACCAAGAGCTAATACAGACAATTAAAGATTGGGCATGAGAAATGGTGGAAGAGCTTACTTACAGGTCCCCTTTCCAATGCAGTTTGTGTTCTGATCATGCTTGGCAATTTCTATAGAGAAAGTGCCAAAGAACTGAATCATTGTGCATTTATATAACATACAGATTCAAGCTGCTTATCTTCCTAAGCTCTACTGCTAGAGGATCCCATGAAATAATTCAATCACCAGAGACTGGAAAGTGCCATCAGCCTAGAGTTTTCCAAGTGACACATGTATCTATCTGTATCTCTCAAGTATATGTAAATGTGCAGACCGGTCTTTTCCTGGTGATCTTACTACCTTTTCAGGCCTCCAGCTGACGTTTATTTCATAGGCATGTGCAAATGTGGCTCCATTATTTTCACTAGACAAGTGCAGGACTCAGAGACTCTCAGAGTCTGACACTACACTTGAAGAGGGTGCTCCACTATGTAGGCAACACAGATTTAATCTTGACATAAAATGCAAAGTTTGGCCTTTAATAACATTTTTTGTTTAATTTCTATTTTAAGACAATTGTGAAAAGAGCCAGGAAAAGACTGAATGAGAGGCAATGTCAGCCAAGCAGGCATCTCCTAAGTAGGGGGCCCACAAATCCCATTCTGGAATACAACAGAACTTTGGAAATGTACCACCTCCACACTTCATAAACAAATTTGCTATAAGAGAAAAAAACATATAAAACCAGAAACAGAGCTATGCCAATTTGAAGAAAAGTGAAATGTGTAGTTTAGGGCAGAAAGTCAATCAACAGAAGACTACAATCAGTCTTTGACACTTCAATTACTTCAGAAGGCGGACAGTTCATACTAGCACAATAATCAGGAGACGGTGATGCCATGTGTGCAAGACTCACATTCCAAAACTCTAGAAAAACAAGCCTGAGTCAGCGTGACTCCTGGCACTGACGCAGAAAGAAATCAGAAACACTTCTTGGGGGCCACTGTAGGCCTGCACATAAGCAGATGTGCTCTGTACCCTGTACCTGCAAACACATCTTCCACAAGGTAATATAACTCACATTTATAACCCACTCTATTCACCTTAAATTCTGATGAGAAATACGTGAAAAAGGAGGATATATTTATACTTTGATATATGCCACATAGCCATGTATAGTACATCCTAAAAACACTTGGATTAAAAAGCAGCCCTTCTGCCCCAGTTTCTCACACTCAAGGCATCAACTTTAGTAAAACAGAAGAGTTTAGTTTCCCAGAAGAACCAGGCTCTGGAAGTTTCAGAAAGCTGGCATTCTCCTGTAAGATGTCCTTGAATCTTGTGAAAGGATAGCTCATCTTTACATGTCTGCACTAGGAAAGAGGACAGTGCATCACCATCCTGAGGTGTAAATCACAAACACCAAAGCAGTGATGTCCAATCAAGGAGGTAATGTCAAATCTGAAGACACATAATGAAAAGCAGTCTGTCACTGAACCATCTTACCTGTCTGCGGATTATTTCAAGGTCTCTTTTGGCTTTATTTACCAGGGCTTGAATTTCTACAGGATCCTTTACACTCTTATTTTCTCGGAAGGCATCTCTTATCCTCCTGACAGCATACATTCTAATGAAGTCAGAGAAAAAAAGAAAAGATGTCAGCATGTATGAGGTTCTGCTTTTAAATGAATTCAAAGGATTTTTTTCTCTAGAATTAACTGTTAAATATTCTTCTACAGATAACCCAGTTTGATCTTTGCTTGTCTACTCTAGGATGGCTAAGCAAGCAGACTTAGGAAAATAATTCTTTCCCAAACAAGTCATATGCAAATGGAAAACTGCTGCTAAAATGCTGCTTATATTGCTGGCTCTTTGGAATTATGCATGTCTGGCTTCTCTCCATTAGCATGGACAATTGAACCTTTACTGTGCAGAGACAAATCAAGAATTCTGAGGACAAATGATGCATTTCATATGCATCTACAAGGACAGTGATCAGCCTTCTAATTCCTGCCCATTAGATGACAGCTGGGTAAGCAGGCCCACGGTCATCTCTGATGTCTATTACTCATCACACTAACTTTCTCCTCCAAAGCACCTTCTTTTCTATGTTGATGGAAACAGAAAAGACATTAAATATTTTAATTCTACTATTTTTTTTTCTTTTGTGACAGGGTTTTGCCATGTAGGCCAGGATGGTCTAGAACTTGCAATCTTCCTGCCTTTGCCTCAGTAGGGTTGAGATTATATATATGTATCACCATTCTTTGGTTAATTCTAATATATTTTTTTCTTTTTTCGGGGGGTGGGGTGGGGGGTGGGAAGGGGGTTCTCTATGTAATCCTTGCTGTTCTGGAACTTGCTCTGTAGACCAGGCTGGCCTCAAACTCAGAGGTCCACCTGCCTCTGCTGCCTGAGTGCTGGGATTAAGAGCATGCAACACCCCTGCCCCCCAGCTTAATTATTATAGTATTTCAATCCACATGCAAAACAAGACCTGATTTCCAGGTGTCATGTTTTTCTTGTGCCTGGTGCCCAAAGCCAGGCAAATCATGTGCTTGACTACTGAGTTCTGCTCACATCCCTCATCCATTGCTTTAATTCTTCATTCAGGATTCACCACAAGCTTTTTTAAGAACACCATAGCCTACAGTCGCCATCAATACCCTGATTATTATTATTTTTATTTTTTAAGAACAGGTAACTGGTTCAGAGTGCCTAAAAGAAAAAGAGCACTGCACAGAATGGAAATAAATGTAAAGATTCCCCCCCCAAACTTTAAGAAAATAAGAGTTGGGGCTGAAGAGATGGCTCAGAGGTTAAGAGCACTGACTGCTCTTCCAGGTCCCAGCAATCACATGGTGGCTCACAACCATCCATTATGAGATCTGGTGCCCCCTTTGGTGTGCAGATATACATGGAAGCAGAATATTGTATACATAATAAATAAATAAAATCTTAAAAAAATAAAAAAGAAAAAAAGAAAATAAGAGTTGCTCAAGGTATTCTACAATACCAACCAAATAAAGTCAAGGTTGAACTCAGAATATTTGGCTCTATATTTTCTTTCCACATCAAAGAAAGAACCAATCCCACAATGTTTCCCTTTGACCTCCATACATGCACTGTGGAATTTGTGAGTCACCTTCCTCAACACTCACTGCTGCCCACACACAGAGTCAAAAATCTCAGTTCAACACCTAGACGCACCTTTGAAACCACACCATGATGGTAACCTTCTCTCTTTTCATTTCTAAGGAAAGATATTCCACTGGCTCAGAACCACAAAGATGCTTTTGCATGAGTAATTTCTTTCCCAGTTATGTGCCTATCATTGGTTTGGGGAAGGTCAACACAATCTAGATAATCCCTCACATTTTGGGAGGATTGACTACCACTTATTTTAATACTGCCTCCTTCTGTTTTTACCCTCTTCCTCCCCCCCCTTTTCATTTATTTAATACTGGCTACTAAGGAAAAGCATTTATCATTAAACATTAGCCTCTTGCTGCTATCACTAAGCATATATAAATAAACGTGCAGGTGCTATAATGAAAAGGTCAGCCAATCCCCATGAAATTCATGTTAACAGATGATCCTCAAAGGGAGATGATGCTGGAAATTAAGTATGAAATTAACGTGGTACATAATGTATGCACATTGTGCTAACATCTGTGTGTTAAAGGGATGCACAATCACTGCCTCCAGCATGGATGCTTATGTCCATGATAGGATCCAAAGTATGACCTGACTAGCTAATGTAAGGCCTCTTATTTGTCATTCTTCATCAGCATCTACATTGGTAGATTGTCTGCTTATCCATCCCATGAACACGTTTCTCTTTGTTTTTACTGGGCAAACTCCCACCAATCTCCAATAGCCCTCTGTATGGTTAGTTGAAAATGTTAACTTGTTTCAACCTAAAATCACCCTGGAAGGTGGTCTTAATGAAGAATTATCTGTATGAGGTTAGTCTGTGGACATGTCTATGGAAGATTGTCTTGACTGTTGATTGAGGTGGGAAGATCCACCGTGAAGGTGGGCTGCACCATTTCATGAGCTGGGCCCTGAATTACTGGGTGCAAGTAAGCAAAGGTGTGTGTATTCTCTCTTTGATCTTGACTGTGGATGTGATATGACTAGCTTCTTGAGTTCCTGCCATGACTTCTTAAGGGGAGAGGTTCTTAAATCTTGCTATTTATTGTCTAGATTACTGGTTTATCCTTTTTTTTTTTTTTTTTTTTTTTTTTTTTTTTTTTTTTTTTTTTTGGTTTTTTCGAGACAGGGTTTCTCTGTGTAGCTTTGGAGCCTATCTTGGCACTCGCTCTGGAGAAGCTCACAGAGATCCGCCTGCCTCTGCCTCCCTAGTGCTGGGATTAAAGGCGTGCGCCACCAACGCCCGCCCATCCTTTCATATCTTTGAGTCTATGCCTTGTTGTAAACCTTTGTGACATGGTTATCTGTTTACTTCTGGGGATTAAGTCTCACAGTTCACTAGGCCTTAATATCTACAGTATACCCAGTGAATACAGAACACTAAGTTTTTGTAATATAAAAAAATTATCACAAGTTTTAGATGGGTATGGGGGTGCATACCTTTAAAACTAGCACTCAGAACACTAAGGCCAAAGTAAGAAAGAAATACAGAAGAAAAAAAGTAGCCCCCAGAACAAGGCAAAGGAACACAGCACAAACATTGAGGGTGAACAAACCAAATTGCTTAGGAAATTAAAGTTATAATGGAAAAGAATGTCCAGAGTTGAGTGTAAAACCTGACAGAACTCACCAAAATTTAACAACTAGAGGATAATGCTAACATATTTGCTTCAACTCCCAATTCCAAGGTTGGAGAAGACATTTTTAAAGGAAAAGAACTCAAAGTAGATGACAGTCAACAGGACACAGAGATGTGCTCAGATGCACATTTTTAATATCTAAGAGAAAGGTTGCTCCTCACATTTGACAGTCTAAAAGGAAAAAGCATCAATATTCAGGATACAGTTCTATGAGGTGTACAGCAACTGATATGCCTTTTCTCATTCAAGCTCCAGACACTGTGATCTGGTGTGTGGCAGCACTGGTTCTGAACTCAGGTGATTATCTTAGAATCCTCAGCCATTCCACCTGAGGTTAACAAGTTGATAAATGCCTGGCTAAGCCAAGTCAAGCTGTTACTCATTTGAAAGGCTTTGTATCAACATCTCTGTCATGGAAAAGCTTAACAAGGTCATCTTCACTCTCAACACTGTCAAGTGCTCCTACAAACAGTTCAAGTGTCGTGCATGTCCTACAAAGACAAGTGGTTGAGAGCCTTAGAGGGAGAGAGCTGTTGATATAAGTGCCACGAGTAAGTGAAATAATTGAGTTTAATTGTTTCAAAAGGAAGCAATGACAACTGAAGGGTTGTAGGGTGAGGTGACTAAGTTACCACGGGAAAATACACTTTGGGGACCAATGAAAAGTTTCTGAGTTCTGTGGTGGCTAAGAATAAAACCTACTATACTTCTCCATTCAGAATTCTCTCATTGTTTTACACTGTCTGGAGATCAGGGTCAAATGGTTTATCAAAGACTCTGGACCACTTTCCCACTCCTTCTAGCACCTTCTATATGAACCAATCACCACTCATGTGTGAAGGTATGTCTTTTCCCTCAGTTCTCTGCTTAAGGCTAGTAGCTAGCTCTATGTACATGAAGTGTTCTTTTGCTGCAGATTTTTAGGCAAACTCCACTCATTTCTAAAGACCTAAGTCAGTTACAAACAAATATGACAGAGAATTAATATCGTACTTTATTAAACACCACATAAAAAGACAAAGACATGGTAAATCAATGTGTAAGAAGCATGGAACAATACTTTACAAGAGGGTACACATTTTACAAGAGGGTACACAGAGACTGAATCTAGAAAGACAGAGCTGTGTTAATGGTCAGCCCCAGGCATCATCCAAGAAATACACAGTCAAACAAAGTCCCACTTTTCTGGTCTGATTTAACAACATATTTAGAAAAAGTCAAGTAACAAGTAAATCACCCTACTGGTGGGAATGAGCTGGTACTGCAGCACAATAATGGGTAATAACTAACTCCTGAAGTTTAACCTGCAAAATTCACCTTTGCTGACCTATTCCATGGAAGTAACCTGGAAAAAATTATATGCATAATTTTCATTATAGATACAGGTGTATTACAGATAGAAAAACTGGAGCAGTGGCTACATAAATTAAGACACTATGCTTTTGAGAGAAATATTTTCAAAAGAAGTCACAGATCTAAAAGTGTGAAGTGAAAACTCGCTCTATCCAATGGGAAAGGAGCCTCTCTCTCTTTAGTATTCACCATGTTTAAAGGGGCCTGGCTATAGTCGGTTACCACAGTGTGCTCCCAGGTCTGTTCACTTCTTGGGAAGTATCTTAGGGTAAGGTTGATTTGATTTTCAAAGGTTACACATTTTGGACACTGAGGAACATGCTCTGTTTAGGGATGAGACACAGAAGAAGCAATGGAGTGCTATTATAAGGAAGGCAGCCATTATGAAGTGTGAAATGCTAAGAAGGGCAGTATTGACAGAAGTTTCTGTCTTGCCAGGTCCCACAGCCTTTCAGTCCCAAATAAACACACAGAGGCT